TCAAAAAAAAACATAATTGATTGACATTTATGCCCCGATAGGAAGGAAAACGTCTCCCTACCATCCCCTAACACCGTTATAATTTGAATACATTCTTTTTAATACTTAATAACAAGCAAAACGTTTTGTGTTGAACAATTCATTTTACAACATATCAATTATTTGCAAATTATATTAAAACTTTTTTGAGGCAGGTAATAAAAAAATTTCATACACGTAAAAAGTATAAAGGTTAAAAAAGGCTAAATTATAAAATAACCCATATGTATGGAAAATATGCTCTTTGTTTTTGACCTGACTAGAAAATAACTAATTAGTATCGTTTAATTGGACCCTACTGAGTGGCTCCGAAACAGTTTCAGTAAATCATCCAGAGGTGGTGAACCCGGAAGGAAACTCCCGCATTGTGTGCTCACAAATTAAGAGCAATTTAATGTAGGTATATATCTAGATTTTCAAGTTTTATTTTTTCGCAGTTCACCCGCATTATTATTATTACATATTAGTTTCAGTATTTTCTCAAAAAGTTACTAAAAAGTTACTATTAATATTGCGATTATGATGCAATTTAAATCGATAACGGACAGGGACGGAACCACGGGACGTATTGAGCATATAGAGAGCCTACTTCTGGATACTACCTACCATTGATTATAAACACTATAAATACTGTACTTATAATTAATGTATTTAAGTAAGGGGTATTGTATAAGTATTTTGTGTTGAAACAAAGTTGTCCCTCCTTCCCATCGATGTGCTTTGGATCTGTGTCTGATAGAATTTCTGTATTTTATAATAAACAATATATTATTACACATTGGTATTTTAAGAATTTATTCATGTCCTGCAATAACTTAAAATAAAACATTTTAAATAGGTAGGTACATAATACTATTTTTATATACATCATACAATATCACAATGTTATTTTATTAGTATAGTATTTTAGTGTACTCTAAGTAACCGCACTAAACACAATAATGTGATATGATCATGAACAATTGAGATAATTTCAACCGGGTTTTAACCTTTTGAACTGCTTATCGACATCAATATAACAATTATATACAAATTATATTATTATATAAATTATGGAACATGCAAAAAACGATAAAGACAACAGTTCAAATTAAAGATGTAATGAGTGGTCGGAATTCACCCTTTGCCCGAGTATATTTCTCAATTTAGGATACCACTGCAGAATTCCATTAGGCAAAGTAAATGTTAACTTAAACTGTTGATAGGAATATATACAAAATAATAAAGGATAGCAAATTACGGAACAGTTCGCCTACCTACAGTGAAAGCTGGTATAATATCATTATACTATTTCATTTATATTTACATATAATATTTCTCAGTCGGTCAACTTGTCAAAATTTAAATATTTTATAATATTTAAGCACCAACCACACCACGACTTTTGTTTTTATTGCGAATATATTATCATATTTGTATTACTAACGATGAAAGTTCAATTTTAACGAGTTGTTCGTATTGTTGTTTTATTGTTAGGTACTTTTTTTTAGATTCTGAGCGGAGCGATGAATGTATTGGTTTTACAATGATGTATGTTTTTATATTTTTATATTTTTTTTTGTGTCTGTCATCACGTTTTGGGACAGTAAAAGTGCTTCGATTTTCTTCAATAGTACCTTTTCTGATAGGAAAGTGAATCTAGTTGGTACTTTGGGGGGTCAAAAGTAAACATTTTCCAGTAGTTTTCACAAGCGCCGGGAAAAACAACATAAAAATTAAGGAAAAACGGGAATTTTTACGCAAAATCGATTTTCCAAAAAATCGAATTTGGTTATTGGTGTAACTTTAAAACAAATGACCGTAGATACATGAAATTTTCACTGGTTGTTTATATTTGCATTTTCTATACACGATAACATTTTCAAAATATTTTGATTTATTTTGAACTGTTTAGGGACATTTTCATTTTTCATTTTATTTTAGTTTTTTTTCTAGAAATATCAATAAAATTTTATTTGTTGGTTGCGAAAGCTTGAAAATTTAATAGAAGGCTCCTAATATGTTGTTTCAAAGGCAGATGAAAAATATTAAAAATCCTTAGTCACAATTTTTTTTTATAAGCATTTAAAGTTCAAAAATTGACAAAATATGGAAAAATCACGAAAATTAGCAAATTATTTTGAGTTAAGAATTCGTAAAAATTTTTCTTTTTAAATCTAAGATTTGAAAATGAAACACAAGATTCCTTATAAGATTATCTACCTTTATAAATAAAAAAATCTCTACCGGACAGTCAAATTAAATTTTTATGAGCGTTTGAAATTCAAATTTTTACAACATTGGATTTTCACTCGATTTCTCATGTAGCGATTTCCTTATTTTGTTGTAATTCAAAAACGAATAACTGTAGATACATGAAAATTTCACTGAATGTTTATATTAGCATTTCCTACACACCATACAATTTTGAAAATATTTTGACTCTTTTTGAGCTGTTTATGGACATTTACAGCTTTCAATTTTTTTTAGTTTTTTTTTCTATAAATATCAATTAAGTTTTATCTGTTGGGCCAAAAAGTATAAAAATTTAATACAAGGCTCCTGATATATTGTGACAATATCAGTTGAAAAATATTAAAAATACATAGGCACGATTTTTTTTATAAGCATTTAAAGTTGGAATTTTGACAAAATTTATCAAAATCTCGAAAATTATCAATCGTTGGAATTAAAAAATTATAAAATGTTCAGTTTTTATAACTAAGAGTTGAAAATTTAAAACAAAGATTCTCTTAAATAATTCATACTGTAACCAAAAAATCTAAAAAATATATAAACACACTTATTTTTACAGACATTTTAATTTCAAATTTAGACAAAATTTCATATTTAAACCAAGAATTACGATTTTAGTTATTTTGTTGTGATTGAATAATACTATTCGTGGGTACTTGAAACTTCTAAAGTGTACTATTATATATCTATGATAGTATCACGGTTTTTGTTGATGTATAACGCGTTATAAGTATCTAATGGATATTGTGATATGATTAATTTGGAATTTATTATAGGTACCTATTATAGGTCAATTTTTTGTTTAATACCATAGATATGTATATAATATGCCTTATACATAGACTGACATACCATCACCGCTCAGAATCGTTTTTCTTATACAATGATATTATATCATTGAATTCAAATTTAATACCATCCATTATACAGTGACCCACTTGTAACCTACTGTACAGCAGAGCGACACCCACTTGCCCACCTTTTTATTATTATCATTAAAGATCCATATTTAAATAATGAATGACGTATACTTTTTACTGTGTGCTATTTTGAAACCATATATTTACGAACGACCCTTGTGCGTTCTGTGGTTTATACTTTCGAAACCTGATATTTTATTCATATTCCCTTTTCACACAGCCAAAAAATTAAAATCTGGTGTTGAAAAACTCGACCAGGTATATACATATTATAAAATCGGTACATTAAATTGTATTCCAAAAATGCTGCGTATTGTGGCTATTATTCTGATTAAAATTATAGTTCGAAAATTTTCGAACATAAATCATATTAATTAATAACATAGTCGAGACTTCTTTTTGGCTTTCAAGCTCATTGGATTGTTCCCAAACGTCTACGTTAACTTTCCAAGTTCCAAAGGTGTGTGCAAGTTGATCCTGGTCATCGATATTACAACATCATTATACGATTATCAAACGATTGATATATCTGCGCACTGATCATTAAATCATGATGAGCATATAAGTGTGTATGTTTGCTGACGGTTTGAAATGTAAATGAGACGGTGACAATGAGTGCGGTTACGTGGCCCACTAATTTATTCAATCTTCAATACTGTTAGAAATTTTGCATTTTCTCTCGTTAGATATTTCACCCAAGAGAATAAACAACAATAAAAATGTACATTAACTTTTAATTACTACTTATGTGTCGAGACTCAAGAGATCCTTCAATATCGTACTATAATCAGAATAATATATACGTTTTTAATCTTGATAGTATGTAATAATAATAATAATGATAATAATAATAATAATAATAATAATAATAATAATAATAATAATAATAATGATGATATTAATAATAATAATATAATATATATAATTTATTATAATAAATTATATTTATTATTATAATAAATTTATTATAATTTATTATATTTAGCTTATACCACAAGACTTTGGAATAATTATAGTTATGATTTAAACATTTATGTTTGGTTGTTGATATGTAACAGAATTTTCCGTTTTTATATATTATATACATCACTTGCATCAACAAGCGACAATACGTTGCATAAATCGCTAAGAGAGAACTCAGGGAGTCGACGAAATTGATCATACAAACGATAACCAATTGATATATATAACTTACGAGGAACTGAAACGCGTTGCTTTTCTTTTTCCTTCAGATCTTGACGATGAGTAATGATTTTGATGAGATTTAAATTTTAGAGATTATTTATAAAATCTTGATTTCATATATAAGAGGAAAACCCATATTTTAGGTATGATTTTAACAGTTAAGTAATGATAAAAAATAAAAAGTTAGGGCAACTTTTATTTTTAGTTTTACCTACGTTTTTATTTTTTTTTACTTTCACAGAAATAGACATATCAAAACATAGTACTATTTTTTCTTCTGTTTTATTGATTTCTATATAATTAGTTAGTATATATTTTTTTTGTAACTTTTATAGCATAAAATCCAAGCTCTATTATGATTATGTATTAATATATATTATAATACAATAAATCTACCAAAGACGAAGATGTATCCGAGGACGTTTAAAAAAAATTAATAATAATAACAGTAAAATGTTTTAAGCGTCATTAATAGCGAGCCACAACCACCACCACCAACCCCTGGAGGTCTGAAACTGTGTGCAACACGACACATTGTCGGGACACGATAATATTGGATAGGGTACACCTAACGCCGTCCTCCCCCCGCCTGTTGTTTCCTATATTTTTCTGGCTACCGTTTCAAACAATATCGCAGAGGACGCCCTTGAACCGCCGCCGCGCGCGGTCGACGGACACCGCCGCCACTTCATCCACGTCGGCAAAGTACCTCCACCACCACCTCCACGTCATCGTCACCGTCGTCCAACAGCAGCTGAGTACTCTGTGCGACGTCGAGTTCAACGGACTTTGCGGCGGCGTCGGCGGCAACCGGTTACGCCCCGGAGGAGTATTGTCGCCAACAGCCGTCGCGGTCGCTGATGACATTTCGTACGCACGCAAGCTGCATAGAGGAGGTACGTACGACGTACCCACCGATACGAGCAAAGAGGCATTATTTTTCTTTTCCCATTTCTATTATTACACACAGAGATGACAAGACAAATTTGAGCTGTGAAGTACTCGTCTCATATCGTTGTTGTTTCGATACAGTGCCTATACACTAGTATATAGGTATAGTTGCATTATTTTACACTTACCAATTTTATTTTCAATTTATTTAAATACTGCTGCAAATGTTTTCCAAAAAGTGGACTGTAATATAAGTATACGTAGATACTCCAATAAAGATGAACAAAAAATCCTCATGCAATTGAATTATTTTTTTTTTTTTTTGAAAGATTTGAATAGGTACCTATGGTTTATGTAAACTAAGTAAACTAAAACGTTTGAGGTGCGTACATTAGTACTACAACAGTAAGTGCATACTAAAATCAAGAATCATATTAATTCATAAAATCTTTGTTATGTACAAGTTGAAAACTATTCGAAAGTCCCAAAAACATTTGAGAAATAATAAATTGTATACTGGGATAGCATTACATTAGAACTATAGATGTAAAATGTCTTACATCCAAGGGATGAAGATTTCGTCTTGCAAACGTTTAAAGTTATTCAGATACGTTTAATATCACCATTCCAAGCTTCTCAAACGCTAAACCAACGAAAGCGAGTGAAAACCGCATTTAATCGCAGCATGCAATACATCTTATGTATCGCTTATTCGCATGTAGATCACAACATTATAGCAACATTATATTATAATGGGCGTACAACTAAGTGTACACCAAGTTTGGTCACATTTTATTAATAAATTCTTACTTAGAAAGATCACGAAAAATATTATGGTCTATAACACGCATAGTCAATGAATTTATTTTATGTTGTATAGAACAATCCGTTAATAGATTTCTTTAATTTATTATTGGTTTGATTGAACTTTGAGTTTATTAACATAAACGACACAGTACCTTGAGTACCTATACACACCTCGATACGATTGTATTAATGTAATATACATTATTGATAACTATACAACTCAGAAGGGGGGACGGAGTGGCCGATTGGTCTAAGAAGTCGGCTTACACCCAGCCGACGCTTGCTCGATACCTCGGTCATGTGCGGCATTTTTCTTCGGGCAAGTCACGGTGTCCGGAAAACAAGTGCCAACAATCCCCCACCCGGGCATGGCAGATACCTACGGGTGCCCAATCAAAAATTCTTCCAAACCCAACAAACACGTGTTCCTCCCCCTACCGACATAAAAACCTACAAAACCATACAGCTAATGGCCATAGTCACCGGGATTTAGATCAATTAAAAAAAAAAAAACTCATAAGGAAACATTCTTCAAATGTGCGTAATATACTCGTAATCTGAATACACATTATTTATTTTATGTTTAAAATAAAAAAAAAAAATTTAAAGTTATTATAATGATAGGTTTTATTAAAACAAAGCATAGATTGTTTCCACTATAATGCAAAACACGAATGCATATTATAAAAATTTAAATCTTTATAAATCTCTCAAAAACAAAATCAAATTCAATGAATAAAATCATTAAGCTCCATACGTCGAAACCAAACATCGTAGCACGCGTCCATCATCGTACACATGCACTGCATGTAGTATTTAAATGTTATCCTGAAATCCCCTGTGGACAAGAACATTGAATGTGCCAATCAAATTACAAAGATATATGTGTATAATCTTATGTTGTTTTCAACCCTCGCCTGACAAAGCACCCTATGTATCGGGTCACGTGCCTTTTGAATCGCACGTTAATCGATGCCGTGCATCGATCCGTATATGTTTCTCACAGATGTCAGCAGGACATTTCGTGCGGACGGGTCGAACACACACTAGAATGATTGATAGCTCAAAGGGTTGGGGTGTAGACAAATATAAAAAAAGGCGGTATCTTGATGCCAGGTGATTAATTGCGGTCCGTCAGTCCGTCGTGTCCAGAGATTATGACCTCTCAGAACGGAAACCTAAGTAACGTAATGGAATTAAATTCATGCGGAACGCGGACAGACTTGTCAGTAGATTTTTTTCCAGCGGAGAATTTGACTCTTTGAGTTATGGTAACACCAATATTAAATAATGCAGTTACAAACAAGAATTCTAATAAATACAATTGTTTAACTATAATAAAACTTAATAGCCAAATTTAATATTATGTATTACCTATATTATATTGTTTGGTTTTATCAGCTTTTTCCCATATGGGATATTTACTCGATTAAAGTCAAATGAGACAAATTTAATTTCAAAAATTCTTGCAAGACCTTAACAGAAAATTAACTTGATTTGAAATAGACTGGAAGACGAATTGACTCATGTAGCATATACAAAAAGTATACACGGATTCATTCACAATATTAACTTAATCAATGCAGTGTAACCCACCGTTGCAATCGGCAGATTATGCCAGAACAAATTGGCGTATGTTATAATATCAGTTAACTTTAGCCCTTGAACGGCCCGGGCAATTATCTAGACAATGTTGTGACAGAAATATAATAATTAATCGCACGTACCAGCAGTTAAATGCAACACTGTTATTGAATCTGTCGACTAGCAGGGTAAAGAAGGATGACTGATGACCGCTTAATCGGATGGTTTTAATGTCGAATTAATATCGCCAGTGACGGAGAAAAGGGGAAAGTGGCGATTTATCTCCTATTCACTCCCTCTCGGTCGCACCAACCATGGGGTCCAAAAAATAAATAACACCAAGGTCTGCCGCTATGAAATATCGTTATGACGATTCGTTTTTGAGTGTATAATCGTGTTCGGGTCGCTGTGTTTTTATCCACTGTCCTATACACACTTTACCCTTTTATATTATTTTTATTTTTCGAAGCCAGTTGGCAATATTTTCATTTTGAAATTCATGTATATTATAAATTTATTTTGGCAAAGGAAATTCACCCCCATCAATTCTTTTATGAGCTATATATAGTAAGAATTACCTTTGAAAGATAAGTAATATATGGTACACTGCATATGTATAAGATATAAGACCGTATATGACTTCCAAAGACAGAAATAGAAATTGAACAGACATTTGTCTCTCGTCATTCTAATAAAAAAAATAAAATATAAAAGTGTCTCATTTTGCGTTTGGAGTGTATTAATACTATAATATGGCATAGTTTATATATTAAATAATATATAATATATCAGGGTTGAAGGTGGTTTAAAGTGAGTTTGCAGATATAGTGACATGTTTAAATCTACCACGAGATGGTGTAAATTAATGGATTAAAACAGTCATGAAACCAGATTTTTCCTTATAATATTTAACTGCCAAAAGCGTAATTTTTAACATGTATCTAAATTTCATACATAAAAATTAAGTTAAAATCTCATTACTGTTTGAACAACAATCGCCAAACCATTAAATACTATTTTAACTGCAAAATAACTTTTTGAGCATGAAAAATACATTTTCTTCGTTTCAACTTATTATCTTTCCAGTGGAAATCTTTATCGAATCCCATGGCAATTGCTGAATTAATTGCGCGTTATCAATTCTGTCACAACGGTGCTGAAGAGGAAAGGGGTTCATTTCAGACTATGCTGACTTAGAAAATACCCCGTATATTCTCTTTGGCAGTGATTTATTAATTCCCTAGGTCTAAACAACGGAACACAAAACTACACTACCAAACCTAGTTAAACGCATTGATCGTCGACAAAACTATCTGCAAATATCTTTCACCGCCTGCAAACACATCCCAGCGGGAATGGTCGCAAAACTTTAAGGAGGAACCCCAACGAGATTTACAACCAGTATAGACCGATTGAATTACAGTAAAAACCCAAAGATGGTCAAAAACATGTACAGTTATAATATAAAAAATATACACCTAGCACAAAAACAAAATAAAAGTTTCAAACTAAGATTTAAAATCAATGCATTGAAAAAAAAAACTTAAATAATTCAGCCTAAAACTTTAAATTGGACAGTAAAGGTATGCTAATACTTCATCTGTATAATATTTCTTTACTTCTTTGGTTCGGTAAAATTTAATACGCATATAAATATTTCTAGCCATGTGAAAGGGTAAAATGTATTCAAATGCAATACCTAATGTATAATAATTTTTAATCCGAACAGAAATACATATATTTATGATAACGGTAGGTATATATAGATATATATAAGAGATATAAGCTATAGATTAAAAATAATTATCGTGAAACTAAAAGAAATTGATTAGGTATATATAATATATAAATATTATGTACTCATAATAATAATAATAACACTAGTTTTAAACTACAGTTATTAATCCACAATAATTATACCATTATTTGTTTTTTAAATTAAGTACCTATACCTATTGATTAAACAACTTTTTAATGGATTATATTTATTTAAAAAATGGTTCAAAAATTCTTAGATTTCATAGCTGCTGAATAAGGGATTTAATGAAAATATTTGTTTGCAGGTTTAAATGTTCAATTGTTTAAAACAAATAATTATTGACTTTAATAACGACGAAAATAGTAGCTTATACTGGTGTTGTAAATATATTTTGTATGACGGTGAAGTTACCTGATTGAAGCTAACAAAAACTAACTTATCACACTAAATAGTTTGTAATTATGGAATAGTTTCAACTCCGTAGCTATTTGTTATAATAAGCTAAACAATCTTAGTTGAAAAAACAAACTCATTTAAATTAGATTTATAAAACTACGTTAATGACACGAGTTAGCGGACTGGGGTAGAGTACCTATATTATATTATTGCCTAACATTAAAATACATAGTTGCATAATGCGTCACACGCCTACTCAAGTCATATTCATAAAAATATAATGGTATCTGTTATCAGACTGATGGCGACTAAGCCAAATATTAGATAACAGTGTTAGTACACCCTTATAAGTGTTATGATGTTCATGGGTTTTATATATTTCAGTCAATCAAAAATAAAAAACGTATATTGTTATCAATTACCCTTCTAT